TGCTGACGTGCCTTCTTGTGTTGCCCTTCTCTGCTCTCTCCCGCCCCGGTGTGTTTATCCCGGCAGCGAGTGGCACCTCGTGTGGCTGGCGGTGCCTCGGTGGTTGCTGGAGGCTCAGAGCCGTTCCCTCTCTGAGCCCGGCTCGCCTGGCGGCAACAGGGCGTCACGTCGGTGGGAAAACATGAGCCGAGATTTCAAACCCGGAGACCTGATCTTCGCCAAGATGAAAGGTTACCCCCATTGGCCGGCCAGGGTAAGGCTCGCCCTCCTCCCCCTGCCTCGCCTCCTTGTCTGCGGGGTGCGCTCCCACACCTGTGCTGAGCAGCGCCTTCAGCTTCGCCTCCTGTGGGGGAGGACACGGCTGGGCTCCCGGGGGTACAAGCCGCTTTGCAGTCACATTGCAGATTCGTACCGTGAAAAATAGCCCTCTCAAGTAGTCATTAGTTGTCCTAATTTGTGTAACGCGGCTTTACGGAATGAAGACTGCTGTATGGTAGGTAGCCTGACACTGGAGCATGTTCAGGCCCCTGGAGCTGTTCAATAACGGTGTCTCCAAATAACTGCTCTTGGCAAAAAAACCCCGCGAATTTATGGCAAGATTACTCCTGAATGGGCTATGTCTACTGCGCCTGTTTCTGTTAAATAGGCTAAGTGTAAGTGGTAACTTGTCCAGTCCTTTTTTGTGTTCTCTGTGCTCCAGTAGAAAAGTCATGCAAAGTTCTGGGACATGCTGTAGTTCTGGGACCACTGTTGGATGTGGGAATGGAGGTAAAAAGGTATTTATGCTGAGTTGTAAATTGGGGTTCTTTTAAAGTTTATTTCCCTTTTGGTAGTACTTCACATTGGACTTCCACAAGTTATCAGGTCAGCGTAAGGGTAGGAAGTCTTCCTGTTGCTTTTTCTTATTCCTGTTGCTTTTTCTTAAGGATGGGCAGTATGTGAATGAAATTGAATTGTGCCTTTTACCTGTAACACGTTGTAATTTCTCCTTTTAAGAGAAGTGGTCATGTGAAAAGTATCTCCGTAAACTGAAAGTAATGTAATTTTCTATTGTTGCTTATACTGGTTTTGATTCTGCTTTATTTTTTTACATACTGTTAAAAAGAGATATAATTTCCTGATTTATTTTTCTGTAGCTTTTTTTAATTCCCATTTTAATGCTTAATTTTTTACATATTTCCCCCTAAACTGTTCTTGTCTCTTACTTCATTTGAACTATAATAGGCTGTGTTTTTCCTAGGTGGATGAAGTTCCTGATGGAGCAGTAAAACCACCTATGAATAAAATGCCTATTTTCTTTTTTGGCACCCATGAGACGTAAGTACTTTATATTTCAGGGTTATATTTTTTCATTTTAAAATGCTGTGACAAAAACTTATCTTCTCTGAATGTAGTGTATTTCAAGCTATTGTATTTATCAGCACGTCTTCCAAAATTTATCTGTTTTGTCAACACGTGATTCTGTAAATTTTACTTAAACTTTTCAAGTGAATGGTAGACCATAACCATGTATGCTTTGCTCATCAGAGGAAAAAAATTGTACCCACAGTGATGTAGCTGATTGGTTT